ATCGTCTTCTCCCTTCTCTTCGACCTTTGCCCCTATCATTCTGACGATTGCGGCTTATGGTGTCTCGCTTTCAGCCTTTGTCTCCAATTCCCGATTCCCCATGCTCAACTGAAGCCGCTTCCGCTTCCGTTGTCGATACATCGTTTCGGCCTTCGTCTACATCCATCGTCCGAGTCTGAGGCATTTGGACCGGATCTGCATCGGCATCCTACTACCTCTTTTTCTGCTGCTGCTGCTGCTGCTCCCTCTTGGTCATCTCCTCGGGTCGCCTCGCCCCATCCTCCCGACGCTCTGAAACGCCGCTTCTTTGCAACTCGGCTTTGTCAATCTCGTCCTCTCATCGGGTCGTCCACCCCTTGGTTCCAGCCTTGCTTCCTCCGCTAGGCCCTCAAACTCGCCCCATCAGGCCTGGCGGGACAGATACACTCGACAACCCACTACTTCCATCCACGCCATCATCGTCCCTGTGACGAGCGACCATTTCTCCCTTTGCGACCGTCGCATCCCTATACCGTCCTCCGCCTAGCCCCCTGGCACGACTTTTGCCTGCCCAGAATCGCCCTATACATAATATTTTCGCACTTCGTGCGACTTAAGGACGTGAGCCTACTCAACACATCAGAATTCACTTGCCCACCATGAGGGAAGTAAACTTTAGCATTCCCAACGTCAACAAGGCGTCGGTCGGTATCACCACCGCCCTGTACGACCGGAGGGCACTCGACTGTACCTCGACTCTTCCCTTGATCAACTCCTTGAACCACTTGGCCTATCTGACCACGTCATCTGCACGCATCCGCGACATCCTCACCGTCGATGGCGGCATCGAACGCTTGGTTTGCATCCTTAAGCGCGGCAGGAGCAAGGACATGATGGATATGTGGAAGTGGAACCTGGCCTTCCAGTGCGTGGTCAACATTGGCGTTAGAGGTACAGAAAATGTGCGCACACGCGTAGTGGAAGCAGACATGGTCCCCGTCATTGCCACCATCCTTGACAACTACATCAAGGTCATTGAGAAATGCCGCGAAAAGGCAGAAGAAGCCAAAGACAAAGAGAAGGAACACCACAGGCACAGGAGTCATGAGCATCGCAGCGTCACCAAGGCGTCTTCCTTCACCAATCGTTCCAGCCGGGTTGAGGCTGATCAACGGAGTTCGCGCCGACAAGCGCCGCCCCCTTCGATCGACGTGTCCGCTACATATGCAGGCCCTTCATCTGCTGCCACAACACAAAACGACGTGACGCCCACAGGAAATGCTCCGCAATTTGCCGTCCCAACGGCAACTGAAAGGCACGCTCTCCAGGGCTCTCACCGTCATCATCATCACAACCATCACCACCATCATCACCACCACCATCACTACAGGCCGACAGAGTCCCGTAGTGGCGTGGCTAGCACATCTCGCCAAGTCATTCAACCTCTCGCAACAGCTATACCACCGCCGCCACCTGTCGATGTTGCCGATGCTTTCGTGCGCCCGGTTCGCGATGTCGACCGCCTGGCATCAATGGCTCCCTTTGGACCGCTTGGCCTCACGTCACAGCCGACATCTCCTACGACACCTCTACCACCACCGCAGTCTCGATCTCCATCGGTCCGGCCCCACTCGATCCTGGGCCCTAACAGCCGTGCGAGGCGTCGACCCTCGATTAGACATCAGAATTCAACTGCTGACTCTGACGATCTCGTCGGAGACGTGGCGCAATCAGACGAGTCCCCAGCCGATGCAGAAATGTCCGGAACCGGAGAAATTCCGCCTGCTGTCAACATCCAGGACATCACAATGGAAGAGGGTGAAAATATTTTGGCAGGCTCTGCTGCCATTGAACTGACGCCTCCGACTGTTTCTGAAACCCAGGAGACTGGTGCTTTTAACATTACACACCGTGGCCCAGTCGATGGCAGCATTGCCAACAACGCCGCTCCTGCGACAGTACCGCCTATGGGGCTTTCGCCTAATCGACAGACCATGGTCACTCCTCCTCAGCCTTCGCTACCGAACGCTAGTGTGCCTCGTTATCTACTTGACCGCCACTTCGTTCCCAATGCACAGATCCTGGCATCCATGCCTCGCGAAGAGGATGTATTGATGTCCCTTCAGCTTCTGGCATACGTTTCGAAGTACTGTGGCTTGCGGTCATATTTTCAAAAGTGTCATCTCGTACCCAAGTTGAAGATGGGCAAGCAGCTACGCTATTTCGACGGGGACGAGTCAGTGTTGGATTCTCCTGACGAAGAAAAGATGGAAGAGGAGTATCTCCTGCCCAACGACTTCAACATCTTCCCACTTGTGGAAAACTTTACAGTGCGGCACCACAGTCCAGACATGCAGTATTGGGCTGGCGTGGTGATGAGAAACCTCTGTCGCAAGGATGACACGCGCGGTGGCATTCGTCAGTGTGCCTACTACCAATGCGGCAAATGGGAGGAGTTCACTCGCCAATTCGCTAAGTGCCGGCGCTGCCGCCCGCACAAAGTACTGCAGCAAGGAATGTCAGAAGAGTGCATGGGCTTTCCACCGACACTGGTGCGTAGCTGCATCACAGTAATGTGGACAATGAGGATGGCTTCCCTGCACAATCAACTCCTCTTTCCTCTCTGAAGTGTGTATAGCGGCGTCATGTTTGATTTCTTTTTTTTGGCTCCACGCGCCGGCGGCCATTGCATTGCAGGACAGCATTTTCATCTGCATGGCGTTTTTTTCTCGATACCACGGTTTCTTTTTTCAAACAAGCATTGCGAGCTTAGGGGGTCAAGTCCGTCAAGATGATTCGATACAGCCGAATGCTTCTCCAAAATTGTATTCCACTGCACGTTCCTTTGGCGAACGCCTCCCTTTCACCACTGTCACTCATGTTTCTAATGCTCGCATGGTATGTGGCTGGACTGAAATTGTTCTATCGGCCACCTAGGCGATATGCAATCTGGAGGAACTCTTCATTCTGTGTTGGCAATGAAGTTCGACATCGATGGAAGTCTTTCACTTTCTCGGGACGGGTCCGGCATTTGCAACAAGGAGCATCACACAATTTACAATGTGCATCATGCCTCACTCTGCCAGGGATAGAATGTCATAAGGCACGTCATGCACAGGATCGGTAGATGAGGAGGGAGGTCTCGTTCATGGTGACGTACTATTGCTTGACTCCAATCCTCTGGCGGATGCACAATGGATTTGCCTTACAAGCCCGAAAGACAGCAGGCACCTAAGTTGTCGACGATGTACGTATTTTTATCAGACAAAAGGCATAACGTCACGTCTGATTACTTCCTTTGATGCTCTGATCTTGATTATTCCATATGTGTGGATCGCTTGGTGGGAGGTGGACTTCCTTGCAATTATGTATGCCTCAATGGCTATGGTTGTATACGTCAGTAGAACCATTATTTCAGTGTAGAACCAGTCAAGATAGCATGTCACTTCGATGATGCATTCTGGGTTCACATGGGTCGCGGGATTAAGAGCACGATGACAACCGGCTTGCCAAAGTGAGGACTCTGAAATGTATGGGTATTCACTCTAGCACAAGACCGCAACAGTTCTATTTGCTCGCCATGGCCTTCCTCCGATTCTTGCCTGGTCGCTGGGACTTGGTGACCCGTCCCTTAGAGACGCCAGGACCCCTCCTGTTGTTGAAGCCGCTGACGTCGCCCGAACTAACGGCATCTCCAGACTTGGAGTGTCGCTTCTTGCCGCCGAATCCATACTTGTCATTCTTTTTCTGACGCTTCGCATTGGGTTCATTGCGACCTCGACCTGCACCAGTCTTCGAGTTGCCATAGCCCTTGATCTCGTTGTCCACAGCAACGTCAAACAGATCTCCTTCGTTGGTACCGAGGTTCGACGACGACCCTTCCTGTCGCTCTGCGCACTTGTTAGTACGGGATACACGAGATTGGCCAAAGCGGCTGAAATATGGCGTCGGCCAAAGAGAAGGGGTTTAGGAAGGGTTTTCTCGACTTACTCTTCTTCAAAAGATTGATCTTCTCCAACGTGTCCTTCTTCGCCTTTTGCCTCTCCTGAAGCTTCGCGATCTGCACCTGCTTGCCAAACTTCTTCAGGTCGCGCAGCTTGCGGGCATCAGCAGCCGCCTTCTTCGCAGTGGCCTCCTCAACAAGCTTCTCCTTGACCTTCTGCATTTGGCCATCGTCCTTAGCCATCTCGGCAAAGTAGTCACCCGGGCGCGAGAACGGCACACCCTCTTTGATTAGCAGAGAACGACCCTTTCGTGCGGCTTCCAGCGATTGCGATAGAAGGGCCAGTTCACGCTGCAGGTCGTCGGAGACGTCGGGGATGGCTTCCGCCGTTGGTTTGGAGGAGACGATGGACTGGTGCGTGGCGAAGGGGGCAGAAGAGGAAGTGTCGATGGAAATGCGGGCTAGTGCGGCCTGAAGAGCGGCCTTATTGTTGATGGTCAACCTTGTATGTGGGACCATGTCGTCGCGCTCTTCTTCACCCTCGAGATCCGAGAGCGGGACGTCCTCTTCATCTTCCTCCTCGTCCTCCTCTTCATCATCGGCCACTGCTTTCTCCTCTCGCTTTTTGCTGGGGGGGTCGTTTTTCGGGCGGATGATCTTTTCTTCCATTTCGATCTCGGACTCGGAGTCACTATCCGAATCGTTCAAGGCATCGATGTCAAAAGACTAGACGGAGAGGTGAGTACGAGGTGCGTCGGTTCGCGCACCACTGCAATATAGGTAGCTTACCTTGCTTTCTTCTTCCATTGATTCGTCTTCGTCGTCCTCATCCTCGTTCTCGTCCTCATCTACATCCTGAACGCCCATGTTCTTCTTGTCGACCTTCGCGCGATGCTTCTCTTTGAGAACGCGCTTCAGCTTTCTGTCTCTTGGGTCCTGGCCCTTTTCAGCCGCAAGGGCCATTCTCAAAGCACTCCTTCCCATGGTGATTGCCGTTGGTGATGGTGAGTCTCAAGTTGCAGAAGGTAGGACGAGATGTTGCCCGACCGATTACATGGCGTCCCGATCTCTGGTGGGACTTGCCTGTAAATTTTGTTGCTGATAAACTTTTTCTGCCAGCATCCAGCCTGGTAAAGCAGGCGGTGTCACAGGATGGTGGAACTACGCCTGCCATTTGTCCGAGTTCGTGGCTAGGCCCACCAGCCACCAAGTCTTGGCCGCCCCAGGTGTGCACGCCTGTCCACACAGTGCAGTACATTGCCTCCTCACAGCACCTATCATCGACAAGAACGCGTTAAGTCTGTCCATCCATATTGGAAAACGACAAATCAACGGCTGCGGTTCATTCTACCCGAGGCCATTCTTCCAATACCCATTCATATGAATACTTATCCTTCGAGTAATTGGCATTCACACGTGGATCACGAACTGCTCACGGTGTGACGCATTGGCAACTTAATCGTTCTACATGACACGACGCTTTGTGAAGGTTCCATCGGTTATTTATTGAGAGGGCTATGAACGTGGGCCTTGCTTGGTATCCTTGATATCCCAAAACTCAACCTCTCTTGTGATTGACGGATTCGTGCCGAGACACGTACGCTCGACTTGCGAACAATCCGCCTTTCAGAGTACAGAAGTAAGACAAATATCATGTCGTCACAGCGTCCCGTAACAGCAACATGTCTTGTCGTTATAGGGTGAAGGTGAACTGTTTTTGCAGAAATGAATGGCGCTGAAAAGGGTTTTCGGGGGGTGGGCGCCTGGTTCGCCCGGATGACAATTCGTTGCAGTGGCTGCGGGGCGTAAGAAGTTGCGCCGGACTTCGATGGAGGTCGGACATTATCATGTTGGCGAAGCGAGCGTATCGAAAACGAGACAAAGCATGGGATATAGCCCCCGGAAGTACGGCGCTTTGCTCTCGGGCCTCCCAGTGTAAGTCGCAAGAGCATCTTACATGATGGCGCAGCCGGAGTGGCCACCGCCGTTCTTCATGACACTGCAGCCGGAGTGACCTCCACCATTCTTCATGATGCTGCAGCCGGAGTGTCCGCCACCATTCTTCATGATGCTGCAGCCGGAGTGTCCGCCACCATTCTTCATGATGCTGCAGCCGGAGTGTCCGCCGCCGTTCTTCTGGGTGTAGGAAGGCATGATGAGTGCGTAAGAGTTTGTGGATTGGGTGATAGAATGAATCAAATGTGGGAGGAATGACTGACTGTGAGAATTCTGTGGCGTGCGATGGTAAGATACCAGAATTGAAGTGAGATTATTGGGGTTCTTAAATACTCGCACTGCTCTTTTGAATGCTGTGGTTTACCCGACATGCGGACAGGGAAATCATTTTTCTTCCAGTAGGGATATCCACCAGACTTGGCAGAACAATAGCCTTGCGATCGGAACAGCGTTGTGCTTTCGGGTTTGGACAGAGGGCATTGGGGTGGTCTCATTCCTATTGTTCGAAGCGTAGGCTAATATTGTTCCCACAGCGCCTTTAGCTTACGATACGTGTTGGGGTAGCTACCGACGCTATCGACAAACCCATCACATCGTCGAGAGACGATGTAGACAACTTTTCGATGCGCAGCTTCAATGTGCTTCGCTCCAAGCCTTCCCAGGCTTCGGGAAATCAATCCAAACGGAAGGGGAGTACACGAGGACCGGCACGTGAGGAAACGAGACGGTGGCTTTGCGTCCATATTGTTGTCCAAAGTTTTCACATTGTTCATCTGTCAGTCACTCGTCAGGATACCTCCCAGCCCAGGTCCGGCTGAGCCTTTGTTCAGGTAGAGATGGTAGTGTCGTCACAAAGACTAATAGGTGCGTATGAGGGTTACGAGAGCTTATTATTCACTAGCGACATCAAAAGGGGCAGCTCTTGCCTGGACAAAACTCCCAACAGGACAACGGCGATCCCGTGTGACATGGCAAAGTATTGTTCTAGAAGCGGGTGAATGGAAGCCTGGACTCTGTCAGCAGGCGAGGAGCTGCGCGGAGCGTGCGAGGGTGATACATACCATTTACCCTTCAAGGTGATTACTACCCAGGGATTGCCAGCCTCGTCGACTTCCTTTTCAACCTTGGTGTTGAAGGCGATGGCGCTCATTATGCCGTCGCCAAATTTCTCGTTCATGACGGCTTTGAAGGCATAACCGTAGTTCTGAACCACTTCATATAAGCGATAGATGAGGGGCTCGACAGGAGGCATGGGTCCCGCATGGCCCCGGTTGGGAAAAGCCATCAACGGGGCGAGACTCTCTTGGGACACCTGTAATAACTGGGACAACTTGACAACATCCTCAGCCGATGCCTGGACCTGACCATAGAACATGCCAGCCACAGCCACTTCACTTCGGCCAAGTTCTTTGGCCATGTCTTCAAAAGTGATGCCTGTGGCCGCCTTGGCACTGAACAGCGTTTGGCTGACGGAAGGAAGTCGCTCCGCCATGGAGGACTGTTGTCATGTGAGCAACATGCCATATTCGTGGACGCAGCTATGTCGTCCATCCATCATGGTTCTCTGTTACTTACGTCTAGTGTGGCAAGTCCTGCCTGAGCGTGTGCATTCGACATGATGACTAGAGTTGGAGGGTTTTCATGAGCTGTACTGGAAATAAAACATACTTCGGGAACATCTAAAGAAGTCGGAGCGTCAAGGAAGCATATTTAAGTCACCCGCTCGTGGCGCCGATGTATGGCGCTTCGGGGAGGGGGTTCATCACGCATGCGTCATGCGAGTGAAGTATGGAAATCCTGAGGAGGGGAACCCACAAGCAGCTTCGTGCAGTTGATAAGCCGCATGCACATCCATGATGTATATGCACGGAGGCACCACCCACAGACTTGGCTAGATCTACTTGGACGCACCCGCGCACTCGGAGATAGCCCGGAATGTCGGAGGAGGGGTTCGAAGGTGCGAGTTCGGATGCTGTGGCCCCTGAGTTTGAGTGCTGGGGTCAGCAAGATGGATAAGATAGATAACATCGAGGGACCCCACCACCATAATGCACGGACCCACTGTCGGTGCTTTCAAACTCCGACTGCCGTGATCATTTGTGGTTGCAGTTTGCCTCTCTAAAATTCCCAACTCGAACGAACGTATCGCCGACACACATCAGCACCGACGCCTGAGCCAGCCATGCCGCACAAACACACTCGAAAGGATCACGATCCTTCCTCGTACGTACAATAGAATTTCGAAACCCTGCTTGATATCGCAGATGGTCCAGCGATCCACTGACTGGCCGACTAGTTTCGATCTACCTCCATCTCAGATTGCAAAACCTCTTCCAGTAACCCGAGGCGGCAAGAGCGACGACAAGGCAAAATCCAACACCAATGCCGCTACTGCGACTTCAGGGAAGAAACGCAAGTCGCGCAACAACCCGGACGATGCGCCGCGCGCGTTCAAACGCCTGATGGCTTTTGCCCAGGGCAAGAAGACCAGGTCTGGCCTCGACAACGGCGAAAGGACAGTGAAGCGCAAGACCTCTTCTGTTCCCACAACGACCACAGAAACTCCAGCGCCCGAAATGCCCACTATTCGACCCGGCGAGAAAATGGCCGAGTTCTCTGCGCGCGTCGACGCAGCACTACCCCTGTCTGGTCTGGTCACTAAAACGCCTAGGAATGGCAAGGATCCTGGAGGGATCAAGGTGCGCAGAACCAAGAAAGAGAGGAAAATGCACAAACTGTATGATCAGTGGCGGCAGGAGGACGTAAAAATCAAGGAGCAGCGCCTGGAGGCTTTGGAGGAGGCTGCCGAGCGCCAAATGGACCAAGATCTTGAAAGTGGCAACCATACACACTGGCCGGTCAATATGGGAGGCACCTCGACGAGTATCGCCAAGAAGGGCAAGAAGAATAAGAAGGGGCGTAAAGCGAAAGCCGCGGAAGACGAGGACCCCTGGGAGGCTTTCCAGAAGGCCCACAAGGATACCAAGATTGGGCTTCATGACGTGGTGCAAGCGCCCCCGGTCTTGAAGATGAGCACACAGAAGCTGCTCACCCCTCGAACCGATAGTTCTTAACCATACACAACACAAGGCACGTTGTAACAATCAAATACGGCAGGTTGCTGGCGATCTGCAAACCCCGTGTGATTTTGTGGTTGATGAGGAGCAGGCTCGCTTACTGACCTGGAACTAAACCGCCGATGTACATACATTTCATGCTAAAGCGACGTTCACTGGCTGATAGACCTAAGGTACCGAAGGTGGACACCCATCTGTCGTGTCCTGGGCCAGGCTTGCTGTATTTCGTAATGCCACTGCATTTCGAAGGGACCCTTATTCGTAGACCCTCATATCTGCGACGTCAGATTGGTGTTTTTGAGTAGTCGTATGGGTTTGTCCTCCTCGAGAGCACGCCGAAATAATTCGCTAGCTGGAAGAATGCTTTATACGAAATGAGATGCGGAGGCAGAAGTTGAGTTTACATACCGGGTGAGTGCATGGGTGCTTGTTGACCACTGTCATACTATCTCCGCGCTACCATCAATGTGACCGATGCAGAATGGATCCAGATTCGCCCACCTTTTTATCTCGATATAATTTTCCCACCTTCCACACTCCGCAGGCAAATCTTGTGTTGACAAAGACAGTCAGCCTCCTCTCGCGAACCAGAAAGCACAAGCTTGAGTCAAGTAAGTACATGATGGACCCTTGAGGCAAGGTAGTGATTTTAAGTAGCTACCTACCTAGGGTCGTCACGCCGGCAGGCGCATCATGCATTACCTTGTTGTTACCGAGTCGCCAGAACGCTAACAGCCAGACTCACCAATCAGCTCACGTGACCCACCTATCAAGGCCTCGACCATCCGAAAACCCAGACATCGCTGGTTCAATTCCCGTCAATAACACTGACGACCAGATTCATCAGTTTTTCTTTCGCCCTCAGCCTGGCATGTCAACGAACTCTTGAGAGTAAAAATGGCAGGAGAGATTGAGAGGTTGATCGAATGGCTGATCGATGACATTTCATGCCATGGTGATCGAGGTTTGTTTTCCCCCACATGCTTGCATCTACACCATTCAGATGTCGTCCTGTTCGAATCAAACATCAAGAGCGAACACGGCATCGGATGAGCTGTTGATAAAAGGCACTGATCTAAGCACTGAAGTTCGCAAGCATGCTGCAATTTTCAAGATTAAAAACGCTAAGTGTACTAACAGACTTGTAGGCTATCCTGTGTCGCAGACACTGGCTACTATTCAAGACTATCACCATGGCACTGCCAGGCATGACACTCCCAGTGCGATCATGCCCGCCACGGCAGGTCTGAATGACGCAACAACAGACCAATCTCTCTTATCATCAATGTGGGATTGGATCAGAGAGCGAGACGACATTTCTATCGGCGAAAATCGACAATGGAATCACTTAACCCTGGAAGCGGTTCTTGCCATGCCAGAACCAGAGGCTTTCCCTTCACCTGGCCAGGTAGACAATGCCCTCGAGAGCTTTACCACTGTACCACAGAGTCCAAAGTACCATGAAGGTGGTCAAGTAAACCAGCTTCGCGCAGGAGAAACGCTGGTTGCAGCCTTCCGCCCCAGAATCTACGCCTCAGCAGACCGAATGTGGGAATCTATTGCTGGCCATTCTGCCGATTTCAAGCGAGTTCCGAGGTTGGAGTGGGCGGCTTTAGTGGGAATTGCCACGACGAAGAGTGATGGAATCCTCCAGGGAGATCTATGCCGGCTGATCGGTCAAGACAAGCGATCTCTCCCGAAAAGAACCGATTCGCTGGCCCAGAAAGGGTATATTACGAAACGAACGACGTTAGTACGAGGCGTCAAAACGAGCAAGATGTGGCTGCGACGGTTAGCCCCGAGCATGCCGACTAACCCCACGCAAACCGGCCGTGGCGAACGCACGAGCGTGAATTGGTGCCGGGAAGCGCTCACTGCCGACATGGAACCAGTCGCATGGTGTGATCGTTGGACTGGCAAATCTATAGATACCCACATGCTGGCTAAGACAGCCATCGAGATCATCAAAGCCTGGAAAATCATCAGGTATGATGACCTACGCCGCAAGCTGGGGATTGAAGGCCTCAAATGGCAGATGAAGACCCAAGCGAGGCTATGTCGTTGGATGGTCAGAAGAGGCATCGTCCAGTACGTTGCCGCGACCTTGGGGGAGCGGCTCTTCAAAGATTGTCTAAAGTTTAATCGCGACTTTTCAGCTGATGACTGGGATTCATACCTGGCCACAGGCAAAGTCAAAGCACGAACAAACCCCGAAACTGAAGACCTGGCGCAATACAGGGAGGCGAATCTCGATACACCGAACAGGAGTAGTTCGATCAGCGGAAGCAGGGATCGTCACACCACCGCGGGACGTACAACATCAACTCGAGGTGGCATTGCCTGTCAAGATCAATGGAAGCCCGAAAAGCCATTACCGACCACCGTTATGGATGTCATCAGAGCCGGGGATGCCAGGGGCGTTCCAAACCGACAGATAGGCAAACATACCATGGGCCCACCGTTCACACGATATGTGTCGTCTATTTCGACAACGCTGGCAACACCCGCTCTTCAGCCCTCGCATCTCACTCATTTCCAAGTTTCCAGTCAGCTGCATAGGGTAGAGAAATCGGCTATCTATCTCTTCTCTCTTCCCCAGCTTCCGGATTACAGACGAAACAACACTATTGTGCAAGCTCATTTTCATGTACCCGACTCTTTCTCTGCCGCAGAAGATCTAGTCGACGGACCTCATGCCCAACAATACAAAGGGTTCAGCGTGCCTACGCAACATGATCTTTCTGACCAGTTCCACGGCTTGAGCGCACTTGCTCGCGTCCCGAGTGAGAGACGGCAGTGGAAATCTATCCGAATAGCACCTCAAGAGATGTCTCATACACAACCAGAGTTGCACAAGCAAAGCCGTGTTTCGACAACCCCAGCACGCTTGACACACGATGACGATACGAACTTGACGCCTACCATCTCTACACCTTGTCATAGTATCCGTATCTCAGACGAGATGCCTGGAACTGCCGCGTCATGTCCAGTTGATATAGATGACCTTGGATCACAGAACGTCCGTCCAACTCGACGTTCGTTGATAGTTAGTCTGAAGGTGAGACCCTCGGCGCTCTCACGACTGCTAGCGTTGCCTTCGTCCCCGAGACTCCGGAAGATTCCAGACTTGATCGCCAACTCCCACACACCAAGTTTTGATGAAGTCAATCGACAAAGTCTGGATGGTAGCCATTTCGGTAACTTGAAAATGGCTGAAGAATCTGAAAGCGGCTCTTCAAACAGGGTTACCATCAACTGCCCTGACGGACGATCGAGTGAACCAACGCAGCTGAGCGACAAGACGGAGAGTCTGCAACCCAGCACTTCTCTAGCCACAAAGCGAGGGCGTTCTAAGGCGAAGAGCACCAAAACCTCGAAGCAGCAGAAAAAGGGCAACAAAGCTGGTATTTTCATTTGCGAAAAATGTGGTGGCGTGTGGAAGAATGACAATGGATTGAAGTACCACCTGGAGAAATCAGCTTCATCTTGCAATGCAGCCTATGTCCCGCCTACGCCTAAGGCACACCAGTTTCAAGCCAAGGCAGCTCGCCTGTCGACACAAGAATCACTGGGGGGAAATACGCCGATCTTGGAGAGATCTGCAAGGTCGGCACGGATTACTGGAAACCGTGATTCATCAGCACAGCTCGTGCAGGACACCGCTGTGAACCTGGCACATCGGAATACTCTTCAAGCTCATGCCTCCGTTCTACTTGCACGAACTCATCGTAGGCGCCGAACCTCCGCTGAATCTTGCGCCGCCCAAGTCGACATGTTGTTGGGTCGCCCCAGTCCCACAGCCGACTCCAGTGATGCGACGGCACTTGGTTCTTCAAGTACAAAGGAAAACTTTGGCGTCAAGACGGGTGGCTTGATAGATTTGCCAAACTTTCGGCACAAATAACGCACTGCATACAGAGTGGTATGTTCGGCCAGGTGCAGATCGCGGCATACGCCTCAAGGCCCCGGTGACACCTAGAAAGAGCGACTACTTTGGTGTTGCCGGTCTGACAAGTACTGAAACGGCGAGCATCGCTCCTAGTAACCAGAATGGGCAAATTCGTCACCAGTTGAGGGAGCCGAGAAAGCGACCGCAGCTTGTAACCTTTGCTGTTGGCGAACAAGATACACACACGGGGTATAGAAACACCACAGAAAGCAGACCCCCACCATATTCTTCATCTCCTGCTCACATAGATTTGTCAAACGCGCGGAAACACACACACGAGGTCAAGAGGACAGAGATCTCAACTGTTGAGGCAGGTGGCGAAACACTCAGATATCCGAAATTCTGCATGCCTACAATTGCGGATGAGCAGGACACAAACGGATACGCCCCGGACTCTCGCCTTCATCGCGCCTCTCAAATCATGCTGTATCTCATTCAAAACAACGATGGCGTATTTCCGGGTGACCGATCTGCCTACCTTGCGTTCCTCTCAGTATGGGAAAGAACTTTCCCTTCTGACCCGCCGCCGAGCAACAATAATGTTCAGGTCGCCATCAACAAACTAGTCAGCAGGAAGAAGATCATCAAGACCACCCATGCGTTCAGGGACGTCAAGGGAGCCTTCAAGTCTGCTAATGTGCTTCTCGCGCGTGGCATGGATCCTTTCTGTCCGGCAGCTGTGGCAGTGAAGGAAAGAATCATTGCAGAACACCCACGTCCATATATCTTGGCCGAATTCACACCTTCTGCAGAGATGTTTGGACAAGACCAGAAGATGTGGAAGGGAGAACCAATCTTCTCCAACAGACGCAAGCTGGAGAATGACGTGGGAGTACTGGACGCACCGTTCTACGTCAATGAAAGTCTCAAGAAAAGAAAGCCCAAGGGCGTGGAAGCAGATGATGCTTCTCCGTCAAAGCGGCACAGACCAGATTCTGGAGCTTCGGCTGGGATAGACAGTAGTGGTAATGAGCCTATGGTTGGCACCATTGGTAGGCCGTCGCAGGCTGCTGGGGCTTCCCCCTACATACCAACACATCATGTGGCTGCACTCAAACACCAGGCGGCGTATCCAGAGTTGACCTTTCTGGAACCTAATACGTGTCTTGATGAGGACGACGAACCTAGCCATATACTGCCAACAGCCAGAGACGTGCAACAACACATTGGCATGTTTTCGGGAGAGGAGATCAACCAAAGCTTTAGCCATTTTGACTTCACTGCAGCGAGAAAAATATTGCAGTACGGGACAGAATGGCCATTGCTAGAGGTCAACTTTTTTGAGCAGAATAACAGTTTCGCTATGGATGGATGGATGCCAGATTCTCAATGGTTTCTCCAGTGCGGGTTACCACATAGTCTGGACGAGATGATTTCAGCCGAAAGCAATGGAAAGGAGGATCAGCATGATGGTAGCGAGGCGGACTTCATGAAACAAGTCAATGGGTGTCGCCGATGGGAGGTTTCATTTGAAGCCAAAAGTCTGGTCGCGCTCGGCTCGATCGCACCCAACTATATCTTCATCAACCACCGCATGGACACTCACGTTGAGTGGCATGTGCAGACCCTGCTATGGAGTCCAGAAAATCAGCTAGGTTTCCGAGGCAGTCATATTGATACGGATCAGCCCGACTCGGATCTGAAAGCCGAAATTCAACAACTCAAACGGCGAAAATATACGCCCCGAACACGATCTAGGCTAGAGCCAACGGTTCAGATGGATATGAAGTACAGAACTTTGTTGCCATGGTCGCGTAGCTCGGGTGCCGAAGCGGAGATGTTGGAGGGCCAGACTCTGGATGGAGAAGACGATGCTGTGGTTATTGCCGCCTTTGTGGCCACGCGGACACTACTTGGCGGTGCAGACAAGTACATTGAATGGGGCCTGATGATGAGACTTTTCCCCAGCAGATCGCTCGCCTTTCTGCGTAAATTCTGGTCCAAAACGCGTCGAGATCGGCCTGCGTCAGTGAAGCAACTGACTGAGCGGTTCCAGAAACGCTTCATAGCGGCGTATGAACGGAACGAAATACCTTCGCTAGATTTCGACAACTATGTTCGCTATGACTGGGTCAACCTTATTCGATGGACTGCGAGCCTCGTCGAGGACTCAGTCACCCTTCCGTCAGGCCGAGCGGACCTAGAACAACACTTCACACTGGAGGACGCTGTGGCCGACGTGCATGATTGGCAAGAAGATTACTATAATGTACAGTCATCCATATACAGCAGACTCGAAGCCGTTACCTCGAAGTCGGCTGTAGTCTTGCTCAACGAAGACAGGAAAAGCACGGTTCAGGAGCCAGATCTTGTCAAGGCGAAAACCTGGATACGGTCACTCTGTTCTACACAGCAAGGGCTGTATACTCCACAGCAAACAAGAGTCAAAATGGCCAGCCTGACCGATAATGGTGAGGTATACAACAACGAATTGCTTGAAAGGGCCATCGACACTCTTCAAGGTCAAAATGTTATTGCGAGGACAAGAAGGCGCCGATACGAGAATAGGTCATACCGACTCTCTGAGTGGTACTTGCCACGGCTGGCCAAACAGAGCCACGAACAAAAGTTCCTCGACGCTGTTGCCTTCAAGACACTGCTAGATGCCAAGTTTCGTCGTGATGAAGAGGTTAGGATTCCATACGTCATCAGGGATGGCGAAGTCATGGCCATGATTAACCTGCAAGCCCACGGCAGAGTAACGATATCCCCCGTCGACATGCCGCAAATTCCATTGGGATTCAAGCCTGGTGTCTACGAAAGCCGCAAATTCCCAAAAACATTCTACAACTTCGGGCTTCAGATCACGCCAACCCCAACATATGTGTATGACGATGATATATATGTTCTTCAACAGTCTCAGGGAGATTGCCCGGCGAGTCAAAGCGCGGAAGGTGCGCTGCCTCTTTGGTCTGACTTTTTTGGAGCGCTCAAGGTAGACCGTTGGCGACAAGTACTGGGTGCTGTCGTGTTCGCGATCGCTATGCGTGGTCCATTGGATCTGAAAGGCGTGGTTGCAACGCTGAAGCCAAATCTAGAGGATTTTGAGGTTCAACTGGTCATCGAATGGGCCTTACGAAACGAAGTCCTGAAGACCGCCTCGCCCCGAGGAGCAAGCTATACAACGGCGGAGTGGTGGTGGCTCATAGTCGGGAGCCAGGGTGTCTTGAAGGGAAGCTAGGCTGCTGTGTAGCAAGGTTGCGTCCGAAGTAGTGCGCGACGATACTGGAGTTATTCGAAAACAGGAGAATGTATAATATTTTGTCTCAGCAATGCATCATGTCAACCTTTCCCGAGATCGTCATCACCACCCTGAGTATTTCGTAGAAGAGAAGTTGATGAGCGGTGTTTTCAAGTTAGTTGCGAGCCAAAGATTGCCGCTTGGAATACCGTTTTCGTTCGTGCAATTCAAGCACAACTAAATCTACTTATTTCACCGAGCATCTTTACAAGATGCAAGGCAAAACATATCCTACGCATCAGAGATCCACTACGCCTCGCTAAACGACCAAATCGCTCTCAAAATATGAAATGAATATCTCGCCGTGCTTTTGCCCAGGGACGCACGTCGCTCAAGGATAGCAAGACCCAAGATCAAGAAAAACGCATTTAAGCAAGTACAGAGCATGAAATGATCTACTCTCAGAAGTCGAACCCTTGATCCTACCTCAAATAATCAGTGGCGACAGGCCTAGGTGTAGGTGATGTCTCACAATTGATGAACCACGAGGATGCCTGCTCAGGTGTTCAACAGCGCTCGAAGAATCATAGCCATAAGCAAAACGACGAGTACAACGATGGCTCGATCTACCCACAAAGGAACGCCCGCGTCCATGGGTCGTTGTACAGTGGCTGGGGCATTCCAAATCTGTGGATTTGGAGCTTCACGAAGGGGATCGACTCTCGCAGTCGCAGGGGATAACTCTAGCTGACTCAGAATGATGATAAGACGAGGTCTCAGGAACAGCCATCTCTGGCGCTGTCATCTGCTGTTGAGTGGACGCGTTGTCACGGCGAGAGGTGACCGGCCCTGTCGTGACGAAAGCCTCGGACAGTCTGCACTTTCTTCGTCATATGCCTCTGCCCATCCCCTGGAGTACCTGGACCAAAGTGGCGTTGTTCTGCCAATTGCCGGGCGCACTACTTGATGTTTCCGGGCTCTTTGTCATCTCATCCCTTCCAGGCCATCTTGAGTTCAGAAGGGACTTCTACCCGCTGGGGACCTTGGAGGAAGTTGAGGCCGCTGCATCTGCCGCATTCTTGGACTCCACCAAAATTTCTTCGTTGGATTTGCCGCAAGCAGGGCATTTAAATGATCGAGAGGCAAGCGCATGACGTTGTCGCACGGCGTCTGTTGATTCCAAGCCGCCAAGTTGGCCTTTCGGATCGGTTTCCATAAAGCTTCGCAATCTAGAAACAGAGTCAGAGTTCTGAAAATCTAGCAAAGACAGCCAACTCAGGCATTTTTCCAGGTGTGCGCGAAACGGAGCAGTGTTGGAGCGGTATAGGGAACTACGGGGATTGCATCTTACGCGACCAGCGCTGTCCGAACGCCCCAAGCTGGCTGCCATGTTTCCTCATGGTGGCCACTGATGCTGAGGCAGATCTCTCTGTTAACTTCGAAACGGCCGCTGGGTGTTGTGAAACGAAAGCTCGGTGGACGGAGTGGATAAGTAGGCGGTAGGACGATACGGCCATGATAGATGCCATCAGCAAACGCGGAGTTGGGTGGTCCTCGGAACGTGAAGTGCCACTCAAACAAGTCGCTCTCGAGAGGTGTAGCGGTATAGTCAGGCGAAGGCGCGTTGGAAAGCTCGGCAGCTTCTTTGACTTGAGAGGAGATCCCGTCAACGATGGCACGCCAGAATTGGCAACCAAATCGATCACGACAACTTACGTATGCGCCGTATTGTTGGCGACTTGGAGTTGAACTTAGGTGTTGCCATGTTGTTCCCAAGTGTGGTGAAGTGTGTTGAAGGAAGCACGAACAAGATATTTCCACGAGCCTAGCGAGGAGGCTTTTGATGACTGGCTGAGCAGACGATCACGACAAAAATTTAGGTAGGGAAAGCGTGGCAGATATAGATGTGGCATATGTTGCAGCAGCTCTGGCATTCGGAGTAGTACCGTCGGAGAAGCTCCCCTCTCCTCTATGCCTGCCTGAAGTAAACAGCCGCCCCACCAGTCCGCCCCCATCCAGCCCGCCCCACCTAGCATGAGGGGCCACTGTATCCACCTCGAATGCGCTGAGGAAGATCTGGTATTAGCATATTCTCTGCGGTTATAACGGATTGATTATGTAATGCGCTAGGTCGAGGATAGACGACTATTGACTCGACTTGTCCGGCTTCCTGACTGCCCTCTAATCCAACCAACGCTTGAAGCGCGACATCGGAGACGGTGCTTTCCAAAGTATAAGGTATGTTCTCTTTGGTCGTTGATTGTATCACCAATTTTCTAAGCAATATTCAGCAGCAATTGCTTTCCTCGAGCCACAGCATCGACTGCTCCGACGACACCGACCCAACTCACGATCAAATAGCCTACACAATGGCTGGGCCAGGTCCTGTCAAGCCCGGCATGGCCCGAGGGCTTCCCCCTCTGCGCGTTCATAACTTCGTCGGGACGGCATTGGGTGCTGGAATGTGGTTCTTCGTACGTGAACGACCCTCGCCATGACTTTGTGACATGTTTTGTGGACTTGCATGGATGTGGCTAACCATGTCTCTTGTAGTTGATGTACCGAGCGAAGAAGGATGGTAAGGAGCCTCATTGGAAACATATGTTATTTATGCTTACGGATGCACAGGTGCGGTTCTTCTGGGTTGGAAACACCCTTGGGACCACTGAAGCGCTGAGGAAGGACGCTGGCTGGATCACCGACACAGCCATGATAGTCGACAGATACCTCTGTACACCTAGCCAAGTTCATTTCTTCGGCCCAGGCTTGCCATCACTGTGGATTACCCTGTCTCGTACTAAGCTATTGGCTTCTCAAACAAATAATGGGCAACGCCCCATGTATCCCCGCCTTCGTATGCAAAGAGCTCTGAGCATGCCAAGTAAAATATTTGCCAGCGATTATACCATACGTGGGCATCTTGCTCTCCGTACGTTGCGACCAGGTGCGGCCAAATGTCTTGTTTGCTGTCCACCATCTTGGCAAGCCAGTCCTATTGCTGTTAATGTTGGCTCAAGTCGTGTTGGTAGTACATCCATACCTCGCACGTCTTGGAATAGTGGACGCCATTGACCCACCACTGCTGACGGATCTGTAGATCACGTTGAAAGTAGAGGAGAAGGTCAGCGGAAGGCATGGTGCCTCCCGTGAAGAAATGAGTTGTCATCCAGCCTTCCTCATAGTCATAGGGCGTGGTCCGGTGGGCGAAAATGTGCACAAACAGCCTACCACCGGGCTTAAGCGCTCTGGCAACCTTGGCCATGAGCAGTTCATAGTTCTTCATGTGCTCAAACAGCTGTTTGCAGGAGAACATGGTCAGTACGTCGTGGAACGGCAACATTGACAGCCTTGCGATCATGACAAGGAGGCGTGACATACCTCGATCGAGACAACCCTGTCGAATGACTCGGGCTGGAACTCATAGTCAACCACGTTCCCAGTAATGACTGTCAGATTCTTTAGTCCTTTCGCCTGTGCTTTGCCGTCGATGTATTCCTTCTGCGTCTTCGAATTGGAGAAAGCAGTTATCTTGGAGTTTGGCAGCACCTCGGCGAAATACAGAGCGCCGGAGCCCCAGCCGCATCTGTATATTGTAAGCGCAAAAGTACGATTTGGGATGTAGAGCCGGGTTCCAGCATCCCTCACCGAGATCAAGTATGCTCATGCCATCCTTCAAGTCGGCCTTTTTCTACATACATCTGAAGCATGGCTACTTCAGCTTGCGCGAGTGTCTCTCGGCCTTGAGGATATAGGCAGCAGGAGTATTTCATACGTGGCCCCAAGACAAGCAGCTAACACGCCAGTGCCAACTTCATAGTGCTGCTTGTTCGCGGTCGCGGTTTCCACTGCTATGGGCCGATCACGGAGTTGCTGGATGTAGGATAACTTGCGCTCATAACTAGCGGCTAGTGATGCGCTCTTGATCTCATTCAATCGCTCTTGTAGCTGGCGCCGAATGCCCACACGTATGACAGCATGCGGCAAGTAGCCATTGTCAAGGATCCAGTCTGATCATCCGGCATCGTCAGAAAGACGAACGAGACTTAATCTCCAACATTCCAATCGTGCACTCACCAATGTTCATGTTGCTCGAATCAAATGCGCTGAATGTGAATCCGACGAACCGGTGTGTGAGCTTCAGGTGACGGAGATAAGAGAGAGTTGTGTTGGCGTTGTAGGTATGGCGTCAGATTCTGTCCGGAGCCGTGTTAACTAAATAATTTGAGGTTTAATCTCAAATGCCACATGTCGGTGAGAAGAAACTCTCAGCACGGGTCATTTTGTAGCCAACATCGGGTGTCTCAGGACCTGCGCAAGCTGCACATCTCTTTTGAATCTAAACCGAATTGAAACTCTATGACACGTACATGTCGGATTGTGCTAGGCATGGCTTGTCCGCCCCCTGTCATCGTACCAGAACGCTGTCAATCCTCTGTTACTGCCAACCACATTTTAGCCACGATGCGGCTCCGCTGGCGAACCGCCCTTTCCTAATACTTGTGACTATCGTATGCTGCACTAGCTGTCAAGGAGGATTGAACACTTATCAGCCATCATGGAATGGTTACTCAAGGTCGATCACGCACATACCCTTGCCTCCACAGTGAGCGAGCAACGTGGCTCCATCAGCCACTAGGTAGGCAAGTGGGTGGCATTTAAAGCCGCACTACAAATCCGCTAAAGACAAGTATCATTCAGAGAGCCCCTTTACTTCAGAACCCTCTCAGTGCCTCGACTATGGATGAAGTGCTCTGAAATCCTACCCAGTAGATAGTTGGCGACACATTCGACCACTAATCTACTTTCATTGATTTCGAGCCGATTCAAGGTGTAGTATAACGCTCCAAAGCGAGCTCACTTTTCAGGAGTGTGGGTGGCTTTTTCTTTTTGTCACCCACCTGGTAGGGTACTGCGGGTACCCTGGTACTGTTATACAGCCTACCGCCCAGGTCTTGGATATGTGTCTGCGGCCGCGTCTACACAGTGGAGAGGCTATCTATGCGCATCTCCTCCAGTATTGTCTTGTACAATTTGCGCTTCTTAGGCTGCCGTGTGAGCCTCTGTTTGAGGCGCCCAATGGCCCGTGCTAGCTGTTGGAACACGAACTTCTCCGCTACCCAGGCGCACACCAAATAAGACGCACCCAAGCCAGTGAGAAAAAATTGAAAGTCTCCGCTCGTTGATGTCAATTGCATCAGGTGTGCCACCCAATGGGCTGGGCTCATGATCATGTACAACGTGAGAAGCAACGTTGTGGCTATCGTAACCAAGAAAGGCCCTGATCATTCCTTGCGTCAGCATCATCCCGATTCGCGGGTGACGGGGACTTACAGTTCTTCGATGCCTTCTGCCGGAAGGGTGGTCCCGCGTTGAGGACGACGCCAGCAAGGATATACTCAAAGCATGACACCAGAAACAGTACAGTGTTCTCTGAATTCTTGATGTTTGACTTATCATGCCTGACCTTCGGAGGGATGTACCATGGTTGCTCTCGAACGGCGATGTATACTGTCGCTTGAATGGCGATGCAGATGATCATTTGGCCTAACAGAGGTATCAAGACCTTCCGCGAAACCAGGTTTGCCGTAGGACGTTTCTTGTATAGAACGGGGTACGGTCCAGCCCACCCCACTGGAGTTGCTTGTCAGAATCTTTTGGCGAGTGGATCACGATTGCATTGACAACTTACTAAAGATGGCGGTGGGGAGAATTAAGAGGAGGTCGATGAATAGAAACTGAGCCCGGAATCTTCAGTGATTGGTCCCGCAGCTAGAATGAGGCATCACATACCTGAAAGTCTCCTAGATTGGATGCAGTTGCGTAAAGGAAGCTAACCGATGTGAATTGAATCGCGGAGTACAGGCTCATATACTTGAAACAACTGAAGCTGGTGACAAGTGCCGCTCGTCCCTCCCTTTCTTAGTGTTAGCCTTCGGTCTACCGCGATACGAACAGAGACAACCCACCGAATCACCTCAGGACAGCATGCGATGTCGAAGTTCCGGCTGGTAAAGGGAGCGGCAACAGACGCCTCGGCTTCGGACAAGGAGATCCCGACGTCCGCAGCTTTGAGTGCCCCGCAATCGTTGGCGCCGTCGCCACAGAAGCCGACGCAATAGTCGATACTTTGCAGTTTCTCGACAAGTTCGTGTTTCTCATCAGGCGACATACGGGCATATATTTTGCCGTTGACGAGCATCTGCGGAATTGTTACCAAGACAATTTTTTACCACTCAACAGCCGACGGCCTTGTCATCCACTTACTCTGTGCAGCACCTGCGGTTCAGCAAAGTCTACCAACCATCGGAACGCATCACCACTAATGGCAAGCGAATAGTTTCGAAGGTTAGTGATGTTGTAAGGCAGGGACACGTCAACATCTTGAGATGCTGGTAGCGGCTATAACCAGAAGTCAGGTCTTATCCGAA